GCTGGAGTGAAGGACAGCTAATGGAGGGAGAGGGAGAGGAGGAGTAATGAGTAACATGTGCATTATGTCCTCAAGGCAGTTTACCAATAAACTAGTTCCACTGGTTTCAACCATACACTGTACATGTACTGGATTGTAGGAGGCTTAAAATTTAATGAGACTAGTTTTCTTATTATTTATTTATTTATTTACATGTATATTATTGTTATTATTATTATTTATGAAACTTGATTAACATACCACACTGATACATGTAGAACAATAAACAATAATTAACAAAACAACAACAACAACAACAACAACAACAACAACACCAGTATACATGTACATGTACACATTACAGGTCAGGCTAGTGAGGATACTTGTGATTCTAAGCCTCTAACACATTTTAAGGCAAAAATTATCGTCCACTTAGCACTAAAAACATGTACATGCACACATGCTGTACCTTTATTCTCCCATGGTGTGTCATTAAAGAGTTTCTTGAGTCTCTCCAGTATTGATAGTGACCTGTACTTGATACACTGTACCAGTACGTCCTGGAATGATAGCTTATTAGGGACCAGTGATAGGTCTATTGATAGTGGAGGGGTGTGGCTAGTTATTAACTGCCTGGTCTGAGAGTGAGGGTTGATGTATATTGTAATACGAGGCCATGGAGCTACAGGAGAGAAAATATTACTACTAATAAATAGAATATATACTGTATACATTTTGTACATGTACATGTACATGTACATGTAGTTGGTAATTTTGAAGAGAATATTTTTAGTGAATTTAGGATTTTGAAAGCAATTATTTTTGTCAAAATAAACCAGCCATTTTGAATGGACATAATTGAGAAACAGCAACTTCTAAAATCCCATTTTCCAAAACTTTACCAGCTATACAGTAAGTATGATAAACTACCAGTTATTAATAGTCAATTATCAGTTATTAATGGTACTTACAGCTGGTATTATTCAGTAGATAAGCCGGTCCAGTGTGTCTCCAGTAGACCAGTCTAATGAGGTGACCTGGTACATAATCCTCCACCTTCATATACACTCCACACACAGCAACACTCAGTCTCTCCACCTAATGAATCAACAATGGATAATAATACAAAGGACCGGACACACTGGCCCACCCTTTCATAAAACCCTCTCCATGTACATGTACTTGTATTAAAAATTGATTCATTAGCTATTCATTAAAACTTCTCTTTGATACAAAAAAATTTATTGCTATACTAAGTCCTAGCTGCTATACCTGTACATAACTACTATTAATAAATACTCAACTAACCTCAGCGTGGAGGCAGTCCAGCTGCAGAGAGAGACAGAAGTGATGGAGTGTATTGAACATGTCATTGAGATTACCATCAACTGAACAAAGTCTGGACTGAACCAACTGGAGGAGGTAGAGCCGCTGCTGCTCTGTCACTAGGACAGGGGAACCTAATCGTCACCATGACAACAATGAGCATGAGGTACATTGTCATGGCAACATACCGGAGAGGGCATGGCCGACTAATATCTTTAAATCAAGGACCCTCCAGGGAAGAGATAGGTCGTCCCCTACTAGTGTCAGGGTCACTTCAAACTCATAAGGAACAGTTAGGGTGACACGCCCATTTCCTGTGGGTGTGGTCAATAATTAATACATTTACACGTAGTCCAGCCTGTCTAGAGGTGTGTGTGTATTAGTAATGTAATACTTGAGGACTGAGATATCTGCTTGAGGTGAAGCTGAGGGCAGATATCAAGGGATTCAGGTATTACATTACTGATAGACACTGTTATTCCTTACCAATGCTCTTCACTTTCATGATGGCTGATGGTAAGTGCTCCCTGGCTAGTCTATACCTGATGACTCCCTCTATCAGTATGAAGGTCATTGCTCTCTCCTCTGGGGTGAGTGGTGGGCGGGGTATGATCCTGTTCTTGATACAGGTGGGGAGCCGAGGGTAAGACCCAGTGGTTAGTACATCAATGGCTGGAGCTAAACTGAGGATTGGCATCCTGGAACAAAGAGAGGGACATTATGGGTACAACTTGGTAATGTAATGGAGGGAGACGTTTGATGGTCATTTGTCAAAATAAAACTATTTTGAATCATTATGTACATGCTATATGGTAAACGTACACAAATTCACTATAATATTAAAACCTGCCAATGACCAAAAATTAACAAGTTGCCAAAATTTCCCCCTCCATAATACATTGAATGTAATAAGTGTGTTGTATTGAAATAGGACAATAAATATACATGTACCAAAAACTACCAATTATATATACATGTACACAACTACACATAATCAATATCAACACTGTATATCATTATTACATTGCTTGTTGTAGTGTGGTTCTTGATAGATGAGCTAACTGATCAGCTGTATCCACGTATACCCAGGACTGGTGGTTGAGCTCACGAAACATATCCTGCAGTTATTAGTAGTTATTAATGATTATTAGTGTCCTTTATGTGGAGGTTATTTTATACAGTAAGGAATGTAATTGGTACACTAGGTGCTGTCCGTTAAATGGAGGTGTACGCTATAGAGAGTGTCCATTAAGAGAGGCTATACTGTACATGTACTGAATACAACACACAATCCATTAATTACTAGATAATAATTAATAATTAATACACAAGTAGATGTATGAATATTAATTGAAGTATGGGGGTGGACGTACTGTGCAGTGTCTAATGGGGTTAGAGGTCTGAGCCCACTTCACTAGTGCCAGTAACTGTATCAATAACTGCCTCGTGTGCCTAGCGTACTGGACTATACGCAACTTCCTAAATGAGAAGATTATAGAAACCACACCCATCGCCACGCCCACATACTTATCTTCATCACTGTTTCTTGGTAGCCTAAAGAAGGTGAGGGTTAGGGAAGAGGATCACGTGATACACTTACAGTTCCGCCAGTTGAGTGAGGTCCCCATATGACTTCTGTAGCACATAGTCCAATAGAGTTGAGAGTTGGACCCTTTCCTCCATTTTTTATTTAATGAGGAACTGTCCAACCCTTAACCGCGGAAAAAAATGGCGGA